TATATATTTATTTATTTATTTTATTATTTATTTTAATTCATAAAATATATATAATTATAATAATTTATGTGATTAGGATTATTATATATTTAAATTTCTATTAATAAAGAAAAACATCAATAATATATTTATTTTATTACTCCCTTTAGTCTCTATATTTTTTATCTTAATAGTAATTGTGTTTTTATAGTAATTTTATCTATGTGGTTGAGTCACTTTGTCCAATTTTTTAATAAGGACATTTGATGAAAGGAAACTTTTTTTAATACTTGGAAATCAAGATTTTTGAGAGTCATAAATTTCATGAATCATAATTATCAAGAATAATTAAATTTTTATGGTTGAAAAAATTAATTAGGATTATTATTGATCAAGTTTTAATACATAAAAATATATAATTATATATAATAATTCATGTGATTAGAATTATAATATATTTAAATTTATATTAATAAAGTAAAATATTAAGAATATATTTGTCTTTTTTCTTCTTTTACTCCTTATATTTTTCATCTTAATAGTAATTGTATTTATGTGGTTGAGTCTGTAACACCCCGATTTTCATAAATTATATTAAAGGTATTTTAGAAATTATTTTGATATTTAAATGTATTTATTTTAGAGTTTTGATATTATTTAATTAATTATATGAGTTCTATTATATTTGAAGACATTTTATAAAATAAATTTTATAATATGTACACTTATGTTTATATTGATTATTAAAGAAGGAGTGTGTTTCAATTATTATTTATTTTTTATGAAAAATGAAGGAAAGATGTTTTGGTAAATGATTTGTTTTATTATTTATTTATTTATTTATTAAGAAAGAAGTTTTTAGGAGTTAGGAAGTTACCTAAGGTTACCAAAAATCATTTCATGCTTTTGACTTCATTTTCCTTTCTACACTTGTAGGTGACTTTCAAACTGACGTTGATGAATTCCAAGATGATGCTTAGGTGGGAAGCTCTGATTAGGATATGTGATATCATGGGATTGATTATGACATTTTATTTTGTGATTTGGATTTCTTATGATATTAATTTATGATTTTGGATATAGTTATTTATTTACTTAAATTACCTTGATATTTAATTTACTTCATTATGAAAACGTTTAAGATGTGAATGTAAGCATTTTACCCTTACATGTTTGGAGACTTTATTTTAATTATGAAAATTTTTTTATATTCATTATATAATTATGTGTAGGGTAGAGGATGTCACTGGGTCACTCTACCTAATTTTTTAATAAAGATTTTTGATAGAAGATATTTAAAAACCAAGATTTCTAAAAGTAATAAATGTCGATAATCATGATAACTAAGAATGATTAAATTCTTTTGATTAAAAAGAAATAAGGGAAAAAAATAATTTATTAGGATTATTATATATTTAAATTCCTATTATAAAGAAAAATATGAATAATATTTTTTATGTAATGATTTGACGAGTCCTTATACTTACTATAGATCAACTATGACGTAGCAAAATAAAGTGAACAACTTCCAACTATCCTAAGGTTCTTATGCAACAGTTACCTAATCATCTTTGACATTTATACATGCATTGGATAGAAACATAAAACTTTCAAATATAAAATCTCATTATGGGATTATATAAAGTTTACATGACTATTTACAAAAGACTTATAGTCATCGATCAAGTGTCTACACAATAATTGTGTCACAACAAAGTGACACCACCAAAATAGGCCATCACAACATGACCTTCCAAAAGGTAGATATCTCACACCAAGTATGATCATAGAAGTTCCAACCACAAGGGAAACAAATAAGGGTAAACTTATGAAAAGAAATCAACATACTATAACAACATTAAGTAACAACTTAAACAACTTAGGCAACAATACTCATTTCACCATGCAAATTCACTTGTCATCAAAGACCAAACATACAACTTGCAACCTCATGCAACATATAAAAACTTTAACATATCACATTTTCAACATTAGCATCAATAATCAATTAATGCATCATCACATATGTCAGCTAAGGATATTTCCTACAACAGAGGTGAGTAGTTTAAGTGACTAGACCCTACCGAATCACAACGTTTGACTTATTGCAACCAGGTTAGATATAAATAACTTTAGACCTCTTAAAGAACCTGTTTAACAACTTAATTTGATTTCTAAACTTTTGCCACTAAAACTAGGAAGTCTAGTACTACTGTTAGGGTAGAATAGTTTGGATATGACCCTACCACAACATTTGATGGAGTTGCCTTGAGAAGATGAAGCAATGGTTCTCCTCTTTCTTTCTCCTTGCTCCACAATCTTTCTTGAGGTCTTCAAATGTAGTAGGAAGCAAAAAAAAACAAAGTATGCTCTGTTTTGGGCATGTAACACCCCAATTTTCATAAATTATACGAAGGTTCAAAGCCCTATAAGGGTGATTTAGTAGCCCAAAACGGGTCGTTCCAAAACTGGAACGGGAAGTTCCAAACTACTAAAAAGACATATATTTAGTAGCCTAGAACGGGTCGTTCTCAAATTGGAATATGTCATTCCAAACTACTAAAATGACCTATAACCCTAGTTGGGAACGGACCGTTCTGGTTTAAGAACGGACCATTTCAGATGTGAATTTTACACATGATAAAAGGATCTAGAACGGGCCGTTTTGGATTCGAAACGGGTCGTTCCGGCCTCTCCTGACATCTATAAATAGCAGACTCTAGCACTACTTCTGGACACACTTTCTGAAGACCAAGGAGAACCAAGAGAAGGAGATCAACCAGATTCCGCTCTAGCTTCAACTTCTGCTTATCCAGGTAAGGGGGGAGTGAGAAACCTCGCTCTAGGTGTGGGAATGTATGTTGGGTAGTGGGATCGGCCCCTAATCGTATGTTTGTTGTGTGCTCATGTATGAGGGGTTTTTCCCAATTGTATCTGTTTCTTCCCTATTTCTCCCTAAATGTTCTAACTGATGTAATTAGTATCACTACAACGTTTTTTATATTAGGCAACGAGTTTTTCGGCAACGCCTAAAAAAATGTTCTCGAAATATGGATAGGCAACAATTTTGTAAATTGTTGGTACTTTGTTTGACAACAATCATAAAATCGTTCCCAAAAGCACATATAGGCAACACTTTATCAAAGCATGCACTATTCTCTTTTCAATATTTACAAAACTGTTCCTGAAATATGAAACAAGCAACAAATTTCTAGTCGTGGCCACTTCTCTACCCAACAGTTTAAAAACCATTCTTAAAATTGATATTAGGCAACAATTTATAAATTATTGCTTATTTTATATCATGCAACACAATAAAAAATGTTCCCAAAATATATTATTAACCAAGTTTATTATTAAAATGGAAAGTTTATTTCGTTAAAGTTAATAGGCAACACTTATAAACGTTGCTTAATGATTATACCTGCCCTTTTGTATTCCTGGGAAATATTAATTAAAAAAATTAAACTTCTCCTTATCTTTAATTCCAAAAATATTAATTCGCGGGAAACAAAAGACTTCTCGTCTCCTAAAACCAAAAAATAGAATCCCTATAATTTGCCCATTACGTTTGCTTGCTTCTCTGTGTCCTATATGCATCTTTCTCATCACGTGTAGCTAGTTGTTCTACGCTTTCTATTACTAGGCGCCTCTTAGGTATGATTCTCACCTTTTATCTGTTTCTCTTTGTATGTGATTGCTGTTATTTTTATCTCTCCCATTCCGTGAGGTGGTAGATTATGTGATGTTGTGCATTGAGTGTGTGGGTTATGGGGTTCACAAGTGTACGTGTGTGTGTGTGTACGATTATAGGTCTATGGCTATATGGGTTATATGGGTTATGAGTTCATTGCGATTATGGGTTATGGGTTCCGTTTGGGTATGTGAGATGGTTTAAAGTAGGTGCGTGAAAAAAAATTTTGAACCGAGACCTCAAAACTATTTTCACAAATTTCAAGCATTTTTGCAATTCATGTATCACTAATTATTTCCGACCGTTTATGTACATCACAATAAATTCAACATCTTGTATTATGGTGTGAGGTGCCCTTCTGAAGAGCATGGAAGAGGTGAATTGTTTTTGTGTCATTATACTTTTACTAATTTCCATGCTCGGAATATATGAATACTACCTCACAATTACACCTTCCCTCTCTAGATTTCACCAATTCAAACCTTTTCTTGTACAATTCAAATTCCCCATTTATTACTGTGTTAGCTTTCATGAGGAAAATAGCGTATGTTCATTATGCACATGGAGAAAGAGGCGTGAGCACAAACTAATATTGTGACAGATGGAAGTTTGATTTGGATTTTGCTGCATACTTAATCTGCTCTCAAATATGAGACACCTGCACTTCATTATTATACATTAGAAACCAAACACAATAGGATACTTATTCAATGCCTTGGAACTTCCAGTACTAAATTCCAAACCCAATATTTTCCTGCAATTCACTTCTCATCATTTTAGAAACACAATCCATCTACCAATACTTTAATACTTTGATTGTTTGATGTAGCTAGTAAAATGAAAGAAAAAAATTGTCTTCATTTAAATTAATTATGTTAGGAATGTAACAATTTGGCACATATATGAATGAATGAAGAAGGTACAATGATCAAGTTTATATCTTGTTGTGTCAAAAGGTACCAAGACAAAATTGAATGCTCAATCAAACTAGGCCTAGTGACTATTTCTAACACTAAAATGGTGCAGACAATGTGGTGATTTACTTTAATATGTTACAGGTTTGGTAGTTATACTTTTTTTGAATTTCTAATATAACATTAATTCTTTAGTGATGGCATTTAAGTGAGAAAGACAAATTGATAAGTTGAGTAAAGGTGACATGAATTTGAGTTTTGTTCTTGAATATTCAGCTCCATGATTGTATCACATAAACTTCCATGCATCATATGTCTAACCATGATTAAGAGCATTTTCTTTTATGATTTTAACAAAATTAGTAATCATTTTTTTCTTGTCTTTTTTCTATGCTACTTGTATGATGTTCTTAAAACAAAAATCTGGATTAAACATAAGGTTTTTTCTTTAAAAGATATACACGTACTATGGTGGTGGCTAAGATATACTTTTTTCCTTAAACATAATCTGGATCCATAAGAAACCTTTACAACTAACATAGTCTTTAAAGAAATTTTAGGAATATACTGTTTTAACATATTTTATAGATAGATTAGAGATTTATAAGGTTCTTTTATTTTATTGGACAGTCAAATGGTAGTAGTAGAATTATTAGGCTGTTTTATATATGCAACTGGATTGATACCCAGACAAATTTTATGTTTGGTAATTGAGCCTACGTAGAGATTTTATATATGTGTGTTTTTATAGTTGTCTTATCTCCAGGTTAGCCTAACTCAAATTAGGCTATGAACAAATTAGATTTAAATGTTAAATAAGTCATCAAGTCAAGATTTTATTCCTTCATCTACTAAATGTTTAATTTTTGGTTTTACTTTATAGATGGATCAAACTTTTTTGCTAACCACCCTGAGTTGGTGCTTTCTTGTTTGAGGTTGTGTTTTGTTGCCATATTTCATATTTTTCATTTATATACTTCCTTTGAATTTAAATATAAATAATAAAACATTAGACTGAAATAGAATTTGAATCCTTTTATCCTTATTATTAACTTAAAAGTGAATAGGAAAATAAGAAAGCAAATTCTGTTATCGGAACAATGGTACAGCATGCCAAACTATAAAATTCTAAAATTTTAATTATGAAAAGCTTAGTGTCTTAGCTTTCTAACAAAATTAACCCCATGCTATTTGGAGACCTAAAACTCAAGTTATGCAGTAGTTACTAGTTGGTGTCTAAGGTTGACTATGAAATCTGTTACAACAAGGACTAAACTGTTTTAAAATAAAAACTGGTACTGCATGCCAAAATATAAAATTTTAAAATTATAATTATGAAAAACTTAGTGTCTTAGCTTTCTAAAAACAAATTAACCCCTTGCTATTTGGAGACCTAGAGCTCAAGTTATGCAGTAGTTACTCTTTGGTGTCAAAGAGAGGATGTGTACCCTGGTATAGCAAGGATTGACTTGTTTTAAAATAAAAACTGGTACTGCATGTCAAACTATAAAATTTTCAATTTTTAATTATAAAAATCTTAGTGTCTTAGCTTTCTAACAAAATTAACCCTATGCTATTTGGATATCTGGAGCTCAAGTTATGCAGTAACTATTGTTTGGTGTCTAAGAGAGGATGTGTACTTTGTTACAGCAAGGATTGACCTGTTTTAAATTAAAAACTGCTACTTCATGTAAAATTATAAAATTATAAAATTATAATTATGAAAAGCTTAGTGTCTTAGCTTTCTAAAAAAATTAACCCCATGATATTTGGAGATCTAAAGCTCAAGTTATGTAGTAGTTACTATTTGGTGTCATAGAGAGGATGTGTAATCTGTTACAGCAAGAATTGACCAGTTTTAAAATAAAATCTGGTACTGCATGTCAAAATCTAAAATTATAAAATTTTAATTATGAAAATTTTATTATCTTAGGTTTCTAAAAAAATTAACCCCATGCTTTTTGGAGACCTAGAGCTCAAGTTATGCAGTAGTTACTCTTTGGTGTCTAAGAGAGGATGTGTACTCTGTTACAGCAAGGATTTACCTGTTTTTAAATAAAAACTGGTTCTGCATGTCAAACTATAAAATTCTAAAATTTTAATTATGAAAAGCTTAGTGTCTTAGCTTTCTAACAAAATTAATCTCATGCTATTTGGAGATCTAAAGCTCAAGTTATGCAATAGTTACTAGTTGGTGTCCAAGATTGAATGACCAAGCTTTGGATAATATAATGGAGAAGGCTATAAGCAATGACAATAGTGTAAAACCTCCTTCTTCTTCCTCAACCCATAGTCCTGGTCATGATAAGGTATAATTTATGCCTTTGTCAAGTTCTAAATTATATTTTAATTCATTTCATTTGCATATACCAAATCAGTTATGAAAGTTTTCTTGTGTATAACTAGGTTTAACTTATGTTAATTGTTGGAGATTGATTGGAGGATTAATTCTATAAGTTTTCTAAGTGAAAAAATATATTTATATGCAGGAAAGACTTGATGATGAAGATCAACCTTATGATGATGAAGAGACTGAATGATGTTACTTACATGGATGGATGACTAACTATGCATAATATTCCTAGATGACACTTTATTTTTAAATTTAGAAATTTTATGTAAACTTTGACATCTTTGGATGATTTTATTTGGAGTTTTATGTTTTTGAATTGTCATATACTTGGAACTAATTAATGCAGGTGAATTTTATATGTGTTTCGATTTCATTTTATAATTTGTTTTATTATTTTTTGAGGATGAAATCAATTCTTTATTATTATATATATATGATTTCACAGGATAAAGTAAAATTTAATATATATATATATATATATACATACATATATATATATATATATATATATATATTACATTCATAACCATTTAAAAGTAGTATATGGTGAAGATTATTGACTAAATAATGGTGTGTTATTACCAATATTATAAGTCAATATAAAAATAATCGTTGCACGTTTATTTAGACAACGTTTACAAATGTTGCACGTTTATTTAAAAAACATTTACAAAATTGTAGCTTAAATATAGTCTAAATTGTTGTCTATATTATCTCATAGACAACCTTAAAAAAAATTTCCCTAAAGTCACTAGCAACGGTCATAAAAGTGTTGCCTATAAAAAATGACTACAGTTCTAAAACCGTTCTTTAAAAATTTATAGTGTTGCCTTAAATAAAAATAAAAAAAAATCTTTGCCAATGAAGATCATGAAAACCGTTCCAGGAAGTTTAGGTAACGGTTTTTTGGCATTTTAGGCATAGGCCAAAAAATCGTTGCATATTGGAATAGGCAACGGTTGATAAATCCACGCTTGAGAAACCATTGCCAAACCGTTCCCTAAACTTTCAGGAACGGTTTTTTGGCTTTCAACAACAATTTTTTATTGTTTTCGTAGACAACAAATGTTGTAATGTATGTATGTATGAGTAGTGTTTGTGTTTGGATTATAATTGCAGATATTGGTGTTCCTATGGGTTCCTATGGGAAACCCTAAGGGAATGCATTAGTGATTGTAAGAGGAGATTATTTGAAGATGCAATTATATGAGTAAATTATATTATTTTAATTGTTTATTGTATGAATTAGAGTGTTTTGTGGGTTCCTGAGAGAGAACCCTATGAGAAATAGGCAAAATATAAATGTTTTTTGTTTTGCTTTCTGATTGTTCTGTTGTATTCCTTGTTGACTGAGATGTACGAATATGTGTTTAATTTCACAAATAGACAAGTTTTGATATGAATTAAAGTGCTCTGTGGAGACTATGTGAATATGATGAGATAATGTGAAATGTGAAAATGAGACATGACGATGTTATATGATAATGAGACATGATAATGTGATATGAGAATGCATAGAGTCTTGATTGACATGCATCATTTGCATAAATGTTTTTAAGGGTATGTCGCAACCTGAAAATTTTTTATCTTGCGATTAATGGTTTAGACATCTTTTTAAAAATCTCATCAATTAAGGAATGTTCGGACATCAGACTAATCCTTAATTAATGGTTTTCAAAATAGGTTCATGGAGTCGCCACCAATATTTTACTCAAAACATTGGGAAAAGAAAAGGTTTTTAAGGATCCAATAATGGCCTTGATAACTAGAATTGGATTCTGGAGTCGGTTACGTGTAGGAAAGGTATTAAGCACCCCTACAATGCCCTTAATTGATACCCTATGTGATGGAGGAGGCCCATGGGCCAAAGGCCCAACTACTAGGGCTATGGCCAAGAGGATTCAAGAAGAGTGGGCTCATGCTCAAGAAAAGCCCATCATACTTTTCAGTTGGGCTTTGACTCAAGCCCAAGTAGATTAGGAGTAGTGTAGGTTTGGGCCTTAGGGCTTGTATTGTATTTTAGGCCTTGTATTTTTGGCCACCTAGACTAGGATTTACATTTAATGCCAATGTGAATTTAGGGTTAATTTAGGTTAACATGTGCATATGCATTTTCATGTAATTAGTATGGCATTTGGTATGCATTTCGGCCATGTGCACACGTGTACATGGTGTGACCGAAATGCAACTCAAATGGATACCAAATTACATCCAAATGAGTGCACATGGGGGAGGTGACCGGTTGGCACCAAAATTTGAATATTTGAATTCAAATTTTGGCGCCTAAGGTTAAGTAAACCATAGCATGGTTTTACTTAACCTTAGGTTAACCCAACGTGCACCCTTGACCTAATTTTGCCTATAAATTCCTTCTTGGCCGAGTTTTGTACCACTTTTGGAATTAATTGAATGAGAATTCTACTCTTGAAATCTTTCCTCTGAAAGTCTCCCTTAGCCTAAACGCTACCCTACTTGAGATCCTCTCCTTGTAGAGTTAGGCATCATCACTTTCTATCCGAGATAGCTAGGTTATACTTGGCTACACTTGTTTCTTCTTGGAGCTTCCAATCCTTTCCATCCTTCCAAGGATCCAAGAAGAGGTTGAAGAGCATTCTTTGAGGTTTTCTTCAAGAAGAACCTCATCACTATGATGAAGTTAACATTAAAAATAATAATATAAATATTGAATCCCCTTTTATTGATGACTATTTACATGCTTAAAATTTAAATTACACAATTGACCCTAAAATGTCTACATGATTGCTTTTGTTATAATAATGTCTATTAAATATGAGAAATAAAAGATAGAGAAGAAGATAAAGATGAGAAATAAAAGATAGAGAAGAAGATTGATTGAAATACCTCGTAGCAAGCTTTGTTAGATCTTCAAATATGAAAAATTTAGGTTCTTTGCGGCAACCTTTCACACTACAATTGCCTCACCAAATCTCAAGAAATACAATAAGAGGGAGAGAGAGAGAAAGAAATTTCGAGCTCAAAGGAGTCTTATACGAAATTTCTTCCAGCCTTGAGAACTGTGCCCGAGTCTGCTATTTACAGACATTAGAAATTTCCAGAACGGCCTGTTCCAGATTCGGAACGGGCTATTCTGGATCTGTACGTTATGTGTTAAATTCACATATAGAACGGCTCATTCTTAAACCAGAATGGCACGTTCTAGAGTTGAGTTTTACAAGTACACTCCTATGCTGGAACGACCCGTTCCAAACTAGGGTTTTAGGCTTTTTTAGTAACTTGGAATGGCCCGTTCCAGTTTAGGAACGACCCATTCCAATTTAGGAACAGCCTATTCTGGTTTGGGAACAGCTCATTCCAGTTTAGGAATGACCTGTTCTAATTTTGGAACAGCCCATTTTGGGCTACTAAAAATAGCTTTTTGGGGCTTCAAGCTTCCTTGTTGTCATATGGTGTTGCCTCCATACTTTGGGAGCTCCTTGTCTTCATAGTAGACGTCCATTTCCTTATTTTTGTTGGTCCGGGAAAAATTAGGTGTCTACAGGGTACGATATGGAATACACCGCCAGGGAAGGCCCCCTTGTGTAAAAGCTTGGGGATTAGTCCTTAGGGATAGCTCGATTTGTAAGTTCCAGTCTCGCCACTCTGTGCATGGGATGTATCTTGCACGACTTAGCTATCCTGACAAGACCCTGGTAGTATGTCCTTCTAGTGAGAGTGGGCAGAGGGTGTGACCTGGCATGTACTCCTATACTACTCTTGTGTATTGCTAGCGACAATACGCCATGTGATATGTGTTACTGGCGCCACATGCATGATAATATGTAGTCCGTGTCCATTACATGTGCATTTTAATGTTATATGTTAACTTGATATTTTTATGACTTTGATGAGTGGAATGTGAAATTTTTGTTAATCCATCTATGTTATGTACATTTACATGGCTTGTTTGTGTTTGGCTATCCGGTGTGTATTCCAACACTATGAGTCAGAGTGAGATGTTTCTCACTCCCTTTTCTTTTGTGTTGTTTTTCTTTGACTGTTATACAGGTGATTATCAGCATGAGACTGAGGATGTTGGTGATGAAGCTTAGGCTTTTATGTTGGGCTTTGCTCTAATAGGACATGGGGCGTAGATAGGATTAGATTAAGATGTTGTTCTTATTAAATTATTTTGGAAACCTTAGTATTATTTCTTTGTAATTTCAGCTGATTTTGTTATTTGTTTAAGTCATGGATGTGGTACTCTCTATCTAAACACGTTTGGTATTTCAATTATGAAAGATTGTGTTATTTAATTTTTATTATTTATGTCTTATGATATGCGGGTAGAGGGTGTCACAGGGCACACCACTCTCCAAAAAGGAGAAGAAAGTAACCAAAGGCACAAAGGAAAGATTCCTTTGTGAAGGTTTCTAAGGAGAAAGTTTTCTCCAAGGTTGAAAGACTCTTAAGAGAGAAATTTATGAAAATGAAATATCAAATACATCAATAATGGTTAGCTACAAAGGAATAGGGTATATATAGGAGATTAGTGGCTTATGTGAGAAGCTAGGTTAAATAGAGTTCAAAATAAACCATGGTATGGTTACCTTAAACTCTAGCCGTCCAAATTTGAATTTGAAATTCAAATTTGGAGCTTCCTTGGTCGTTCACATATGCCACACACACTCACATGAACCTTGTGTTATTTGAAATGTAATTTAAGTGACATTTCATTTGAGTTTGAAGCATGTGAATGGCACCTAACCGTGACCATTCATGCATGCATCAAATTCAAATGAAATGCTAACCCAAAATTACATTTTAATGCACATAAGGTTCTCACTAACCCTTTTCTATCTTAAACTACTTGATCTATAATACAAGGTTAAAAATAAACTATACAATAATTCCTAAAATAAAAAGACAAAGAAAATAAGATCAATATTGGTTATGTAAAGCCTTTGGTCAAAAATGCCCAAAATACAAGGCTAAATGAATACAGTGTGATGGAGGACCATCCAAGGAAGAGGAATACATGAAGGTGACCCCAACTATGAGTCAAAAATAGTATGGGTAAATCAAATATCTCGAGTCATTCAAAAGTTTAATTCAGCAGTGTTCGATTCACCTACCCCAGAAATGAAGGACCATCTGAAACCTTTATTGTTGACCCTCATGATCGAAGGAGTTGAAGTCAACAAAGTCCTAGTGGATGGAGGTGCTGCTATAAATATACTCCCACAGACGTTGCTGAAACGTTTTGGAAAGACTTTGGCAGATCTGAAACCTCACAAT